CTCCCGTTCCTCCACAAATTAATCACAATCTATGGCCTAACCGCTATCTCAAACCCTCCGATTATCCTTTTGCTAGAAATGAGTATCCAGCACCCTTACCAACTGCACCTCTTCCTGATTTCTTATCGGATGAACGATTTCTTGAAATCAGAGAAATGATTAAAAAGAAAGCTCAAACTTTCTCCATTCTCAAAAATGAATTCAATCGATTCATGCGTTTCAAAATCTACGACAATGTTTATCATAATGATCTAATTAAAACTATCAAACTTCCTGAAATTCCTCATGGAATAGTTAGAGAGAACATAACAAATCCAGACTTTGATTCAATCAAAGATCTGATTCAATGCGCTTTTTGTGAGCAATATGCTTTAGAGCCAAGAGAATGCAGATCATGCAAGAAATGTTATTGCTTAAAATGTATTCATTGGTTAAGACAGCTTGTCGAGATTTTGGAACTGATGCCTCTTACCCATCATAATCAATTCCTCTGTGTCCTACCTAAATGCGTTAAATATCATTCTCAGAAGGATGATTATCCATTCTTCCAACCATTATCCAAATACTCCACAGTCGAAGTCTATAAGAAAACTCTCTTTAAATGTAGACGAACTCATTGCCCTGCTAATCTTCCTCCTGATGAATTTTTGGAGCACGAAAAGAAATGTAGATTAGGTATTTTCGCTGCCAAAATCTACTTTAATTTTACTTTTGAAGAAATTCAAATTTCCCCTAAAGTTCGTGAAGAACTTAAGAAAGCTCCTAAAAGTTTAGTAAACTTCCTGCCTGAGCATCTCCAACAAGGAAATTTTGATTTACCAGAAAATCATAGAGATCATCCCAATCAATGGTATGAAAAAATGGACCTTTGGGCTTGCCTTTCTCATTTGAAAGAGGAAAACCCCACAGATCCATACCTTAGTCCAGCTGCAATTAGATCGTTAGCCGATTTCAATTTAAACTTTTGGGATGCCAAAAAGCAAATTCACGATCCCACTCATCCTCTATCCGAAAATGAAACTTTCATCCAACATATTGTTGGCTTTGACCCTATCATTGGAAAGAAAGTTGACAAAACTCAGTTCCCTCCTCGACCTTACACCATTAAGTGGTCCCGTGTCCCTTTTTACCTCCTTACCGATTCTGAAGAATGGGTTAAAGTTGCTAGAGGAGGAATTCCTCGTTCTAACCCTCCATTTGCTAAAACTGTTGCTCCTGAAACTGATGATAGGTTAACCCCTTTCATCAAAATCAATCCCTTGGAAAGACTTTCACCTGAAAGTTTGAAAGAACTCTTCGAATACGCAAAACATCATTTCCCTTCAATTCGAGGTTTTAGAATGGAGCATATTTTCCCTTCGACTAGTAATGTTAAAGCATTGGTTAATCGTCGAAACAAGCAAGAATTGGCTACTCGAGAGTTTCACAACCTCACAGTTATAAACATGCCAAAGTTAAGGGTCAACACTGAAAAACTTATTCAGGAAAACATCGCTCTTCATCCCTCTCCAGAAACAACTTTCTCTATGCATATGGCATATTGTAGAATCGATGGATGGACTGTAGATTGTAAAAGAGATGCTCCTCGCCCTCGACCAATTTGGGTCGTAATTGTTGATGGTTTTAGAAACATTGTTTTCGAAACTTTAATTCATCACGACAAAATCACTTATATGGATAGCCAATTCCATGGACTCCGAGAATCCAACCTTAAACATGCCAAATCTTTCATATCTGTGAGAGATCAAATTCTCGCTTTTTGTCTGACCGCCACTGCTATTGTTGGTTCAGGCATAATTAATATGATGAGATCACTCGATCTCCATGAAGACGAAATTTACGCTCTCCAACACAAATTTAGAGACGTAACTCAACATTTTTCACCCTTTGTTCAAACCCCTACTTCTCTTTCATTAATTTCATTTTTACTTTTTCCTGGCTTTACGCTTCGAGCTGAACCACATTCACCAGCTATCGAAGCTATCACAAGTATGAACTTGTACATGGCTTATTGGCAAGAAATCGAGGAATCTGCCAGAAAATGGGGTGGTATCAACCATGAAAATATGGTCCGAACTTGCGGACACAAGAAAGTTTCCAAACTTTTGGAAATTTATCAATCCAGAGTCGAGAACAATCAAGCTCGTTGGCCATCTAACTGGGCCTACTATACTCATCATAAAGATCTAAATTTCCGAGCTAAAGCTGTCTCTCCTGCTTCATCACCTACACCATCTGAATATTCAAATTATGGAAGCGATTGCAATGTCTCTGTACATTCGCATCATTCATCTGCCTCATCTACTTCCTCAATTGAGTCCATTAATTATCCTTATCAACCTCAAGCTCCAGATCCAAGAAAGTCTCCCCCTCAAGATGTCCCTCTGATTGATTTATCTGAAGATGATTCAATCAATTCATCTGTTCAAATCGCTCCACCACAAACTCCAGCCAACACTCCGCCATCATCTCAAACTTCCACTCTGCCTCAATCATCTCAGTCAACCATAGCTCAAGCTATATCGTCATTGGAATCCTCAGTCGAGAGGAAAAGACGCCACTATTCTGGTCAAGAGTCTTCACAAGATTTCCCTCCACCAAGGATTGATGTAGATCGAGCATCACCAACTTCCTCAATTTATTCTTATCTAGCTGACCTGTTGAAAACTCCTCAATCATCTCCTAATCAACTTTCGTCAGCATCTTCAACTTCATCACTTTCCTCCGGAACTTCAGATTCCCAATCTGATTCCACATCTTCCTCTTCATCTTCTTCTTCCCCCAGATCTCAGGTTTACGCACAAGGAAAGATTATCCCATATCCGATTCCACCAAGCCCTTGGAGAAGGATCGAAAGACCACTTCCCCATTCAGATTCATCCAGACTTTCAAACACTTCAAGCAATTCCAAGCATTCATTCACCAGTACCGCATCATCAGGATCCTCAACTCATTCCCAACAACAGATTCATCCTTCACAGATCCGCTCTCACATTTTTTATCCTACTCGCCAAAGATCTTCATCTCGAGATTCCGCATCTTCGAATCGAAATGCATAAATCTGATTTAAACAGAGCAATCAAGGTCTTAAACCTAGAGGAGTGAAGGGTAGAAATCTTAACTCAGTTTAATCATTCAATGATTTCAATTCTTTTTCTTTGAATCTCAAGATTCACATCTTTCATAGATTTAAATTCAATTCATTATGCCTTAATTGTTCAAACAATATTTACTCAGATTCATTCTTCCTCAACAATGTTAAAAACTCAATTCGCCAATCTTAATTGTTAAAATCCGTTTCTTAAATCAGTCTAAATCTATGTACAATTTAACCACAAAATTTGGTTAAATTCAGCTAATCTTAAAAGTTGAATTTTAAGCTCCATAAAGTAAGAGAACTAAAAATCCCTTTCTTTTTGTGGTTAGTTTTCAACTTTTGTTCACCTCAATTTTTAATCCAAATGCATTACCAAAGGTACACTTATCTCTCTAGAGATATATGTCTCAAGACATAGCTAATGAGTAAAAAGGCTTCACAGCTTTAACTGTATTAATCAGAGATAAGAAACTGTTGCTAACTGGTAATGAACCCAAAAATCAGACATTGTCGAAAGACACTCAATTTTACTTTCTTACATTATTCCCTCCAAAATTATCCTTTGTTTTAGTGTGGTTATAAAAACCCAATTTTTTCATTCTTCACTTTACTTTACATTTACTGTAAGTCACCTTCTGTTTAATTTCCAAATCCATTGAAAACCTTAAATTTATGTTCAACCAACATCTTCATTCCTCAAGGAATATCTTAATTTCAGTTAACCATTAAAACCTTTATTAAAGTTCAAGATCTTCAGTAAAATCTTCAATTCCATTATTCAAGTATTTCCATACTTCTCAGTATATCTTTGAATTGTGTGTGATATCTCTTAGGAGATCTACGGAAACCTCAATTTGAGTTTAACTAGGTGCATAGCTTATTCAAGCGGTCCAAGAAACGAGCTTAAAACTTGTAGTGAAAGCAAGTTGTGCAGTCTTCGATCAGATTACTACCGTAACAAACCTTTCAGATTCTTAAAGCTTGAGTAATTTGCTTCAAAGATCACCAAAATGGCCATTTTCAGAGCGAAATGTGTTTCTTTAGTTTCGCATTCTTTCTTGAACCGATCTGAAACCAGAATAACGTCAAGAGAAACCAAATTTTGCATTGATTGAAAATCGAATGAACTGTTTAGCCTACAAATCGCTTTGCCTTTTTGTAGATATTAAGAGATCCGTCAGTCTGAACGCAAGATGAAACTGCTTCACAGACAATATTCATCAGTAAGTTTAGATTCATTTGGAAACAAAATCTTTTCAGAATTGTCTTGATGTTTATGAATATGGAAATTAATCTTGTAACTTGCACTTATTGTCCATTAAACAAGTCTAATAAGCTTTAAATTTCTGGTTAAACATAACACTAAATGTTATGAATTTACACTTTTTTTATGATCAAATGCCTCGATTGTACATAAGCTTTAATAAACATTTTATAATCGCTTTAACAGCTTAATCGATACAATTTATCAGTTTCGAAATTGGATTTTCATGAAAAGATGGGAAAATAAGTCGTTTTTCGTCTAATTCAATTAGTGCAAAATTTAATCATTTTACTTTGAAAGTTATGAAAACATGAAAATGCAAGTAAAGGCAACAGTTTTATAATTGACACAAAATTAATGATGAATATTTGCTGGTGAAAATCAGTTTGTAATCATAAAACATTAATCTGTTGAAATTGAATCAGGTTAACAAGATTTTCTTTAGAATTGAGAAGAAGAGAAAGTCAATCTTTCCTTGTAATTAAACTGTTAAATCGATTAATTAAATTACAAGAATGTAATGAAAGGAAAGGAAAGATTGGTGTAAACTTCAATTATATCAACTGATGGCTCCTGGATCAATTTTCATGCACTGTTGAGCTGAAACTCTTCACCCTTCAGTCTACCTTCATCACTTACCCTGGAACTCCTCCTGACTCCATGTGCATGGCTAGTGTAACATCATCTGACCAAACATCGTATTGCCACTTGATGAGGCCAATAACACCGCAAAGTACATTTCCCGAGTGAATTCCAATTCTCATGTCAACCATGACATTGGTCGCTTCACGAACAGACCTGAAACAGTTCAAATGGATTTGCGTTTAAACAACAAGAAAACTTGATACGAACTCTAAAGAAACTTTTTTTCTCTTCGTTTTCTTTTCTGTTCCTTGACATGCAGATTAAGATGAATGTTAGTCAAGATCAACTGATGCAAAGCAAAATGACAATATCAATGAGAGTCGAATGAAACTCTATCTAAGCATTAAGAATGAAAAGTTGAAAATTGATGGGAAACATTTTCTTTCTCTTTTCACCTTTAGCTGTTCAAATCTTCTCTTTTATCTTCTTCCTGACACCTTTTGATCAAAAGATCTGTCAAGTTCATGATGAGAAACCCGAGAAATCAAGTTGAAAGGAAACCACAGAAATAGCAAAAGGTAACAAAAAAAGTTGAGAATTATTCATTTCAAGAAAAGGAAAGGTAAAAATGTAAAGGTATGCAAAAAAGGGTAAAAGAAAAGTGAAATGGAATAAAAATATCAGACAAAATGAATGTATTCATAGACGTTTCTCTTTCCTTTTCTCATAATATAACAAATGTTATTTTATTTTCAACAGTAAAACATGAAATAAATATCAGTCCTTGGAGGCGAAACCAAAGTGATTTCATTTGTTAAGGCAAACGTTAACACAATTTATTCCTTTATTCAGTTGATTGAGAAAAGGAAACTGCAAAATCGATGACAAAAGATTAACTCTTCTAATCTTGTTCATCTTTTTTCAATTCATTTCCATATTCACTGAAAAAATTATTTTGGCTGAAAAAAGCTTTCGACTGAAATGTTACTTTCAGTTTATTAACAATCAAAAGGTAAAGTAAAAAAAGATTTCATTCTTATAGCTTGAGCTTTGGTCAGCTTTAAAAATTTCATTTCTGAACGCAACTTAGAATTTCTGATTTCTATCAATTTAAAGTTCAATTTTGAACCAAGTTAATGTCAGCTATTTGATGAGCGTTTATTGAATGTTGAATGGATTCTGAGCTATTCAGTTATCTTGCTGTTGGTTTCAGCGAAAAGGCAATTTTGAAAGTTTGCTTTTCTTTCAATTTCAATGCAAGAATCCATAAATGTTGAGGTGAATAATTATTCCGAAGCCTTGGTTAAAAATTAACCATCAATATTGTTACAGAAGGTTGCATGAATCGAATGAAAAGAAACAAAGAAGAACAATATTAACAGTTATTTTGCTCTTTTTTTATTACCATCCATTCCATGTAAGATTGTATTTTCTTTTGGATAAAATTCATGTTCAACATTGTACTAAACAGCATGAGAAGGGAAACACATTTTTCCTTGTCTATTGTGTTGCCATGCTGATGATCCTCATCTTCAACCTTCTTATACATTACTACCTGTTGCTGTTAACATCTTACATGACCATTTACTATTGATTTTATTATTCACCTTTACCTTTCTTGTTGGCCACATTTTACTCCATTGCCAACCTTGTTGATGAACAAAATACTCAGAACAAGAAGAAGAAGAAAAATGTTCAATTATTATTCTTGTTATCTCCATTTTGCCCTACTTTGAATACCTTTTGTTGCTATTATTTTATGATAACACCTTAAACCCAATCGAAGAGACTCCAAAGGAGAGAATCCAAAGTAAATTATATTCACTAAATGAGATAATTAAACCCTTTACCTTGGAGAAAACATTATCATATTGTTATTCCCTGAGAAAAAAACTCCAAAAATTGGAAATTTCGAAACTCTTTTGGCCATTACTATCTCAATTAACAATGATATTAAGCTACACTAATTGAACCAACTGTGACTGAAATTGTTGTGAGTTTCCTCAAGTTCAACAGCTCATCTGAAACGATTCAGATTATTCCAAAATAGTTATTCGATGATTTTTTGCTAATTCACTCCCAGTCTGAATAACCAAAACAGTCAACAATCAACATTTTGATAAATTTTTTCTTCTTTTAATTTGTAAATATTTCTAACGATTTGAAGCTAAAATTCACTCAATTTTCAATATCATTTCTTAACGAACTCTGAATGAGAATTGAAAATATTTTGTTGGTGAACTTTTAGGTGAAAGTTATAATTAAATTTGACATTTTCCAAGTTGCTTCCATCTTGAACATTTGTCAACCAATAAACCTAATATTACCTTGAGGCGTGAAAATTTCGTTTCATTTGGAACCTTGTTTCAACTCATTTCCTTTTCACTTTAAGATAAACTTTTGAAGTGTCAAGGTAATCATCACTCCCAGACGATTCCCTGTTGATGAAAAAAAATATTTGACAAAAAAAGTAAAACAAAGTTTCCACTTTTGTACTTGAATCGCGACGAATTAACACTGTTAGTTCAATTGAATGCATTTGAAACATTTTCAGATGAAAAGAGTTCAATCAAGACTGATAATTTAAACTGTAAAGGTTATTCAATGAAAGGATAAAATTTTTACTCGAATCAAATTATGAGTGACCCAGAAAAGGTTATCAACTTATCATGACTTACCTTATTGCTTCAATCATTCCCAGTCCCATTTGAGCACAGTTGATGGCATGACTTGGACGTGAAACTGGAAGCCCAGAGACGCAATAATAGCAATCACCAAGAATTTTGATTCTCATGCATTGGCATTCCTGAAGAGAAGAAAGATAATGAAAAATTTATTCTAAATTGAATCATCAGTAAAATCTGACATGAACATGTTTATGAAACTGAAAAGGACAAGTTCAATATTAGTGGAAGCTTGAAAAATGTTGAACAATTTTTTTCCATCCAAAGATTATTTTCCCTTCTTTTTCAAACATGAATATTGATACGAATAAGATGTTCATCATTCCAGTTTAATCTGCTCAACTAATCTCTATTCATGGTCATTTATGAACTCGAGTCTCGAACCTTTTCATCTTTTATTCATTTTCTAAATCACAAAGTTCCCAATCACTTGGCAATAATTCACGAAAAACAGAAAATGAAATTCACTCTTTGATTATCATTTTCATAATTAAGTTGCAATGAACCATTTCTGAACAATTAAACGAATGCAATTGAAAAGAATTGAAATGTTTTCAACTTTTCAGGTTAGGCTGAAACTGAAACTAATATTATCCAAACTGTAAACCAATAATACAAGTGGAAATGTAATAAACAAAGATAACTGTTTTTAAAACAATATTTTATTGATAATTATCTATCCAATTGACTATCATTACAAGAGTAAAATGTCATTATTATCAACTTGGAAACTATCATTATCAGCATCCGAACGTTTTACATGATAATTACAGTTCATCAGTTACCATTCCCTTGAACAATATCATGTATCATCAAGCATCAGGTTACACTTCACAAAACCTCAATTAAATCGCAAGAAAATTCAACGAAACGAAAATGTTTCCAATTGTTGAACGTTTCCATATTGAATCCTCACTCCCTTAACTGGGAGTGAAAAGTTATCGAAAACAAAATTTCATCAAAAATCTTATTCCAGTTTCCAAATAAAGTTGATTATCTTTAAAATCTGTTATCATTTCCAGATGAAAGTTGCTTCATCAATCAAGTGAACAATTTAAATCATCTTAAGACTCGATTGATCCAAGTTGTGAGACTGATAATTTTGGTTCCTTTTTTCGTTATTGAATTGCAAAAGAATTGAATCAATTTTAGATTAATCTGAATGGATTAGCTGTTCAATGGATCAAAATGAACTTGAAATGGTCCAGAAATGAGTTTGAAAATTGCAAGGAATGCCATTTGAATCAGTAAATCCAGCATTTTGAATCTTTTTTTTCTCTTCACTTTTCTTTGCTTTAAGGCTAAACTTGTATTTTGTTTGAGCCAAAAATTCAATTGTTACCTGGATCAGAGCAAGATGAAAATAAGTTGACAAAAAAAGGTAAAAGTAAGTGAAATGATCAAGGTTGGATTGAATAAGGTTGAAGTAAAGGAAAGTTAATGGTAAGAAAAGGCTTTTCTTGCTTCAGTATTAATGTGTTAACTCAATCCCATAACCCGTAGGCTTGAATTTGGTTAACTTTTTTTTCGTTGTCTCAGCTTCTTCTTCAATTTATCTCAAGTGTTGAATCTAGCATTTGTTTAGCCTGTAAAGGAATCGCTCTCATTGATCAATCAACTTAATCCTTGTTTGTTTAATTAACTGTCGACCAAGATTATCTTTGTAACCGAGCTTCACATTGGAAATGTTATTAAACTGAAAATCTGATTGTTTGGTTGAAAAGGTTTTCCAAAAGTGCAGCTTTGGTTGACTTTTAAATTAAAGTTCATGTTTTACAGATGGATTTATCATGCTTTTAGGAAGGAAATGAGGAAAAATATGAATGTTTATTTAATGAAATTGAAAAGTAAATAAACACCATTTTGTTCAACTGTTAGTGTCAATGAAACTGAATAAATGTTGGAAAACGATTCAATTTTCAAGTCAAACTTTGTTTATTTTCGATTGATAATGTATCAATAATTATCACTGAAACATTCACAGAATTGCATGGAAAACTTCTGCAAATGAATAGAAAAAAATTTTGGCTAAAAAATGTTCACATTTGTAAACTTATTTACTGTAAATGTTTTCATTTTTTGTTCATTTGACTGAATGAGATTGAATCAAGATTGACCTTTAACTGGCTTTTAATGTTACACAATGAAAAGTCTTATGTAAAATCCTTAAGCAAATAGCTTCTGGAAGCCTCAGGGAATGCAGATTGAGAAGGAAAATGCTGTTCAACTGATTATATTGATCTTAATATTGGGTGAATAAAGGACAGAAAAGATTATCCAAGAAACTATCAAATATTAAAGTTGATGGAAATGGTTAAATTATGAGTTTCATTGAGTCTTGGAGTCGAGTTTATCATGGAAATGTTTACATGAATTTTATCGTTTTATAGCAACAGTAAAATGAATAAAGATAATGAGTTGGACTGGAAACTACTCGAGTTATGTGACTATTTTGAATAGCAAATTGTCAACCTGATAAACTGTAAATTACTCTGTAAATGTATCATTAAGTCGAGAAATGATAATTGTCTTTATTGATTGTTGTACTTGTTGGTTAAACCTTTTAGTGAAATAACGTTTTTCGTTTAACTTTCATTTCAAGTTTCGATTTGATCCAGAGTAAGAATCGAATGATTAAAATGATTCCGATGATGAAATGAACTTTCAGAATTGTTGTTTATTTACTGAAAGTCTATTTTCAATTTAAAATTGATTGGTAAAACTGGTTTATTTGCTTCACTCTTCACTGTTTACCTAACAATATAAATGGTACACTTTGATACCTCTTGATCAAACTGATCAGCTAATTTGTTATCGTATTTAAAATGATATTAAATGAAACCTTGAAACATAATCAAAAGTTAAATTAACAATTTAATTTCAATGTTTCCTCAATTGCAGAGATTTATTTTTAACTGGCAAAAGCAGTTGTTGCTGTTGTACAAATAGATCGCACTTTAACCATAATTTCATCTTTCAACAGTTTATTGATTCTTTCCCGAGATTGCCTTCTGTCTCGTTTTACATAAATATTCATTTTTAATGAACTTTTCCTGATCTATTATCATTTAATTTTCAACCGTAAACCATTAAATATTAACCTCTCAGCAGGTAAACCGTATCAATTGTTGTGAGCAAAAGCTGGTTAAAAATACTGACATTAATGGTTCAAGTGGAGGAAAAAAGGTGAACACAGTAAGTCGAGATAAACAGATACAATTTAAAATTAAATACTGCTGGGAGTGAAATGCGACAATGCATGTTAATTAAATGTCGAGGAGTCGTTTCGATTGATTACCGATGGTTAATGGAGGAATTGGGGATTCCATTTACATTTTTGTATCTTTTGGTATCACTTTTTTTCGTCACTTGAAATGAGAATCCTTTTGATCCAAAAAAGAGCACTTTTTTGCTATTAAACATTCCTATTGGTTGTATATTAACATAATTAGATACACATTGATTTGCTCTCTCTGTGTGTCTGTTACATGATGGAAATGAAATGAAGAAAAATCATTTTCTCTTCATCATGAAAACAAAGTCATTTATCTTTATGATGACATAAAGAATGTTATTCACTGAATTTGAACATGAAACATTATCGAGTCTGCCATTCAAACACCATTAAGTCTTTATTCATGTTTAAAGGTTTCACTGTGAATAAGATAAGTATTCAGACAGAGAGATTAGATCAAATATGATGATTGAAAGAAGAGAGAAATTGTTGGTAAAAATAATTCTCATATTACAACATGGTGCTGATGAAAATCATGGAAATGGTGAAAATTCTGATAGATTGAGGTATGAAGAAACATTAACATCCTTTTGTTGTTCAATTTTTTTCAAACTTCAATCTTGATGGAAGAAGAAAAAGATGGAAATTTTCAAATAATGTATTAATGATGCAAGTTCATGTGATATGAAAATGAATAATTGTTCAGATTTGATGTAAAACGAAAAAATTTCAATTTTGTGCCTTTCTCATGAACCTTTGTATTATCATGATTAAATGAAAAATGAAGAAAAATAATATTAAAAAAAGTTCATTTCAATAGCTGAAATTGAATCAACTTTGAAGATTCACTTCACACCAAGGTCTAGTCAAGTGTGTATTTTGATGCACAAAGGCTGACTCTTTAGGTTGAGATCTAACGTCAAGGCTCATCTTGTGAAATGAAATTCAATCAAAATTTAAGATTCACTTCAAACTCGTACTTAGGTCTAGTTAAGTATAAATTTTGATCCTCAAAGGTCGACTCTTTGGGTGAGGTTGTGACTATCAACAAGGTTCATCTTACGAAATGAAAATCGCATTCAAGACTCGCATTCAGGTTTAGTTAAGTGTAAATTTTTATGCACAAAGGTCGACTCTTTGGGTTGAGGTTGTGACTAGCAATAAGGTTCGACATTCAACAAGGAATGATTGATGAGATTGTCGCTCAAGATTTGACCATTTTGATTAGAGAAACATTATTCAAGTTTTGTTATCACCTGTGACCAACCTTGTGACTTGAAGCTTTTCTAATTTTCTGACTGACTTGACCATCCAATTGACCATCAGGATGAAAGATGGACAATATGAAGCCACAAGAGCAAAAAATAATGCTCAAAGAGGAAATTGATTGTAAAAGCAATCATTTGTTATCACATTTTTTCTCATTTTTCATCATCTTCTTCATCATTTGGGTCTTCACCTTATTCTGTCAGGTTTGTATTTATATAATTGTCACAGATTATCTTATCAACGCTCAGAAATTTCATTTACCTGTCAACCTTTAACTGCAGTTTCTGTAGTTCTGAATATTCATCTTAATCATTTTGAAAGTTCATCAACATCCAAGTAAAAATATCAATTAACTGAACTTCCTCAACTCATCGTAATCAGCTTATCTTCAATCTCTAAAAATAGTAAATATTTTCAATCTTACCTGAGCAATTTGATCGAATCGGCCAAAAAGATCATTCAAAGTTCTAACAAGTTCGGTAGCGCTCAATTGTTCAGATAACGGCGTAAAATTGACTATATCAGCATAAAGTAAACTGTAAAAGGAAGAGAAAATTAATTTCATTTCAGATAAAATTTCAATATTATCAGTGAATCAACAATTGAAGGGAAAAAGAGTTTCATTGGCATCAACTTTTCATCTTTTCAGTTTACCATGAAAAATGTAAAAATAGGCAAATTGAAAAGTGAAAATAAAATATGAGAGAAAAAAAGGAAAAATTGAATTCATTGCCAATTCATAAGTTATTTTGGCGAAAAGTTGAACCATTGAAATTTCAATTTAAGTTTGCCTGTAAAAAGAGAAAGCAAAATAATAACAGGAAAAAATAAAGTTTCAATGAAAGGAAAACATTGTTGAAACTTGAAGGGTTAACACAGGATAAAAGTGAAATGGAGAGAAACAAAAGTCTCAATTGATTCAGTTTTCATGGAAAAGTAAAGATTATTCAATTTATTACCTGACATTGTTGTGCCTTTGTACATAAAGCTCGTGAAATCTTTGCTTAGCTGGAGGCCGATGCACTTCACTGGTTGTACATGAACTGGTCATTTTAAGTATAATCCTTCGTTTAACCTCGGCTGCTATGTAAGCCGGTATCACACTGAGCAGCAATTGTTCCTGCAAGTTTATTCACAAAATAAACTAAATGAATTTGAGCAAAAAGCAGGCAACCTCGAGAAGAAAAAACAGAATCGATCGAAAGACGAAACTGATCAGAAATGTCGAGCAGGAAAATGTTGCTCAAAATGGATAACACTTTTAATATCATTCAATATTTCATCTGTTTATATATTTTCAATGAATAACTTGAAAAAGTATAACATCAATAAAAGTTGTAATAACATGAATTTTTATCATACTTTATCATGAAAATTCTGGATCAACTTGCAAGGACTATTCATCAAAATGCTAGGAAAATCTTGGCGAACACAAAGTTTCCATCAAAAATTCACCTTCGAAATGAACCTTTTATTGAATTTAGATATTTTCGAATTTCACTTTCAGGATTTCGTTCTTTACAAATATTGAAGAATGCGATTCAGCTCTGAATTATCCAATTCATGCTTTTCTTGTTTCATTTTTTGATTAACTTCCATTGAAATTGGAAACTGAATCTGTTTAGAGTCTTGCAGTTTTGAGTTAAAACAATAAAAGTTGATAATTAACAACCTGTCGAAATTGCTCAATTTTCTAGGATTTTTTCTGAGAATTTCATGTTTTTTAAAAGTTCTGGATGAATAAATTTACTTTTTTTGGCTGATTTTTTTTCCTTTTACGATAAATCTCTTAATAATTGCGACAATATTTTCAAGTTTACAGTTAATATTTTGCTTCTTCATCATCTTTATCTCACTGATTTGTCTCCATCTCAACTGTAATTCTGTATTAATATATTAATATTAATCTCATGAGATTGCATACTGGAATTGTTGGCAAGAAAAAGATTCAGAATTCATTTTTATCCGAAATGGAAGACAAAAAAAAGAGAAAAGATGATTTCAGAAATGATGAAGATAAGAAAACAGAAAAGGTAATAAAAAAGGAAAATGTGAAAGTAAATAAAGGATAAGATTGAAGCATTATTTTTACCTTTCATTATTTGTTTGACACATTTTCTTGTTCAACACTAGATTAGCACCTTTTGAGTTTTGTATTTTTCATCACTTGTTCATGTTTCATGATTACAAACAATTTTCAGGGTTTCAATGATTAAATGATAAAGCAAACGTTTCTTTAAAATTAATCACTGTTTTCATAGCAATTACTATTAGACATTCCCGAGTAAAAATAAGATGTGTGTCGCACTTGAAGGAAAGAATAAATGATATGGAATACTTATAACCGATATAGATATTCTTCGTTCAAAGACAAGATTCGTAATACAATCTTAGAAATTAATACAGATCTTTAGTTTCTTTTCTTAATGGCCGATTGATGATAGATTTAAAATATTTTCAAATGCTGTAGAATATTCAAATTGCTTTTTTATTGATTGAAAATTTTTACATGAAAGATAAATCGCAGGTTTATGTTTTTTAGTAATAGATGCATCTAGCTTTGATCATTGAGTTTTGTCAATACGAAAAAAAGAAAGATGTTGGGTCGATACAGCGTTTCAAAATGGAAATGATACAATATCGATTAATACACCACGACAGTAGTTACATGATGTAGGTCCGATATAAAGTAGTTTTTCAGATATTTCTGTGGCATCGATCAGTCGATGACTTGGGCTGATTGCGTCAATCTTATTGAAACCTTTTAAAGTACAACTCTGACCTGTTTTGGAATTCTTATATTTTATCTCCGATACTCTCAGGATTTGTACTAAAACTTTGATTAATTTAGTTTCTATATCAACGATACATAAAATTTTTCCAAATCTAATACAGTTATTGTCACGAAATTTAATGTAACAATCTTCGGTTTTTATCGATGTAGTACCGATATAGCTTCGATATAAAGTACTACCATGTTTTAAATTTCGATAGGTTTTAAGTTCTTTATCTTGGAACTGAGTGAAGAAACGTCGATATATCGTCGGTACATGCTGTTTACTTGAACCTGTTACTATCCAAAAATTTTCGGAGTGCTTGATCCCAGTCAAACTTGTGTAAAGTTCTGCTATTTCGCCGTTAAGGTTTAATGAATTTTTATCGAGAAAATCAATCAGACTCAATCTCATGCTTATGTTGTTCATTATCTGACTTGAAACACGATAAAATGAATGCTGTTTTCTCTTGAGAAATCCATAAAAAGTTTCTGGGTTGTAAGCTGAGTAAAAAGTTGGTGGGCCATAATTCTTTATCGAATCTGAAATCGTATGCAATAAATGAAAATTGATTGTCAAGAATCTATTAGAGAAAATTGAGGAAAAAATTTCACTGAAATAGTTTAGATTTTTCTTTATCGATGCTATATCACAATCGCTTATCACTCTACGATTTGCTTTCCGTATAGCGTCCACAAATGTGTAAATCATTTCAACTACTTTTGCAGACATGAAGTCACGAGCAACAACAGGTAAATAATACAAAATGAACATATGGAAGTCTTTAGCTTTCCATTGTTTCCAATCAGAAAGTCTCTTGGGCGCTTCATGGAATTCTGTCGGTGGTTTAATTTTGATTAAGCGCTCTTGAATACTCGCTGAAAACCTTTTTAAGCTTAAATTATTCGCTACATCGTCGCAAAAGAAAAGTAAATTTACCAATGTTTTACATACGCCTTCATCTACCGTATGCATTAAATCAACAGGAAAACTTTCAATCATGTCAAATCCTTCAACACAAGTTAATGGTGATTTTTTTGCTATGCCGTTGATACAGCGGCCTGATTGAGAGACAGTGTTAGCAATTGATGAGAAATTTGCATGATTTCTTTTCCTGATGCGATTGAAAGGAATGAATGGATAGTATCTATGTATCGGTGAATCAAGCTGTAGACTCTGCGTGATACATTTTGGACATCCCATGATCGCGTTATGATTTTTCATTCCCATTAACCAAGATTTTGCTGGTGTGTCGGCGATAAATCCACACAAAAAGACTTTAGAGTTTGTTTGTGTACCATTGATATGCTGTATCTCAATGCCATTTTCATTAAGTCTTGCTATATCTTCGATGAAGTTTTCTAGAAAAAACTCCACTTTAGGTTTACTTCTGCCATACCATAAATAACAGACAATTGGATTTTTATACCTCACATCAGCGTGAAGCTCATTAATATAAAACATTATCGGCCACAAACTTTTGAGTGTCTTATGCGGAAGACAAACTCCATCAGTAGTAGCGGTTACCGTTATTGCATCGCTATATCTATTCTTTACGTTTTTTATTATTTTTCCATCAATAATGTCTTTTATGCTGCTAGATTGGCTTCTATTTGATGATATAATAAAATTACTATAGCAGCGAAGTATCATTTCAATCTGTTCTTTGATTGGCAGCTTAATCATGAAGCGTTCGTTCTTCACTTGGTTTCGAACATTTACAGACTTTCCACATCTGCAATCAAGGAAAAGAAAGTCTTTCATTTGATCCTGTGATATACCACCGATGAACCTTCCACATTCGCATTCCAAATAGTAGAGATTATTAAGCTTCTCATTTTGCATGACTTGATAACACTTATGTAATGTATTAGGAATATTTTCGTTGTATGTCCGCAACATCGATAAAATCGATACAAATGTAGCGTTCGAAATGTTCTTGCAGATCTTCAATAAGAATAAATGAGCAATATCTCGTTTCGTTCGATATGCCGGTGATGTGTCATTGATTGTTTGCAATTCAACTTGGCTTAATGAGTCGTTATTATTCGAATCTTCTTGCAAACTTTCATTATTAATCGATTCTGTAATGTTGATGTTGCATGGATTAGATCGACATCTTTTCTTTAATACAGCGCCGGTGTTACAGATATTTGCATTTCTTTTTTGTCCACGTCTCTTTCGACACATCGCCGATATATCCCAATATTACAATACTCTCGATAAATATGTTGCCGACATACAGCGGACACAAAAGTATATGTGCTGCCACCTGCAGGACGTTACCATAGAAACGAGATAAAGAACATGTGAGAATAATTTTTTTCACTTCACTTCTATTTTCCCCTTGTATCACTTCACTTCAATTGTTAATAATGGCTTCTTCCGACCCTTATTATTTTCTTATTTCCTTTAAAAATGGATCTTATACTTGTTTAAAAAGTCGATATATTGATGTTAAAAACCATAACAAGCTTTATAAATTAGTGAAAATGGAAAAAAAGGTTTCAGTTAAAGTTAAAACGCCGAATTTTTTCTTCTATGGGATCGCTATACTCACCGAAAAAAATTTTGAAGATTTGAAACAATCGCCGCTTTATGAAGGAATACAACATCAAGTAAAAAGTATCTCTGAAGTTAACCGTGACAATAATGGATACACCTTGGCAGAAATAATGGGATTTCAATTTAAACGCTTCTTTGATGAATATGAAACAGAAACTGAGCTTTCTGATGAGGTAAGTTTTTTATGTCGCCGCTTTATCTTTGATTAGATAATCAAAATTTTTCTTTATCTAGGAAATTCAACCACGAAGGAAAAAAAGAAAGACTTCTGGCGCCGCTACAGATAAGGTAATCTTTTATCTTCATTTTATTCTCTTGAGAGTTTTTATAAGATTTAATACTAATTTAATTTACTTTCTATATCGCCGATATATCCAGAAACAGGACGAATCTAAATTCGTCGCTAATACAGAGGATACAGATAAATTTGCGGAGTTAATTGAGAAACAAGTAGCTACTCGATATATGGCTCATGACAAGTTTTCAAAGATTCAAGCTGACTTGAAGAAAAAAGCTCAACAGTTTGGGCCAAGTTTAGATGATTTTATCGGTGAAATAGAGGTTGAAAAACTTGAGGATATGGGAGCTAGACAGGTCTTATATTTCGGCCTTAAATTATCATTTTCAGCATTTATATACGCTGATATGTGCATTAAATTGCTAAAAACACAACCAGGAGGCTATTATTTCAATATACAACCGTCATATCGAGTTGTTGGAGACGTAAGTTCTATTTTTAACATTATATATCGGCAATATATCTAATCATTATTTTATATT